GGACAGGGGTTCGTGCCCTGGTCCGAGAGGATCCCACATGCCGCGGAGCGGCTGGGCCGGTGAGCCATGGCCGCTGATCCTGCGCGTCCGGAGCCTGTGCTCCGCAACGGGAGAGGCCGCAACAGTGAGAGACCAGCGTACTGCAAAAAAAAAAAAATCATGAATCTTAGGTTTATTAGTACCTGGGTTTACCAATGGAACGGACATTTACTGTTTTTATATTGTGTTCCCAACTTAGCTTTTCCTTGATTTTTGTTCATTGGAATTGTTGTTCTTTTATAAGATCTTAAATCAAATATGAAGACAAAGCGGGAGAATGAAGAGCACCAAGATGAGAGTTAGGAGACTTGGGTTCTAGATTTACCTCTCTGTTCATTTGTCACTTAACTCTTAAGTGGTTTATGTTTTCTTATCAGTAAAATGAGGAGTTAAATGAGATGATTTCCAGGATTCAAATTTTAAGTGCATTTATTCTATGATTTTATTATAGAAAGATTGACTTTTATTGCTAGGGAATGATGTTTATTAAGCCTCATTATTAGTTTACTGGGCTCTCTTAATCCTGGATTGCAAGACTGATGAGTAGCCAAATATGTACCCAATCTTAATAAGTCATTAGGGGAATACATTGCTGTGTGTAAAAAAGGCAAGTGGCATAATACAGATTCATTGCTTCTATTTTAGGAGGTATTCAAAATAAACATGCTCTTGATAGCGGGTCAGTGATCTCACTTAAAGAAGCAAATTAAATACTATTAAAATTTTTGGGAGGGTGTCATGGATTATAATAAATTGAATTTTTTTTTTTACCCAGATGAAATTACTGAAGCCAAATCAGGGACTGCTACTCCACAGAGATCAGGCTCAGTTAGCAACTATCGAGCTTGCCAAAGGAATGATTCAGATGCTGAGGCTCAAGGAAAATCCTCAGAAGCTTCTCTTACCTCATCTGTAACGTCACTTGACTCTTCTCCTGTTGACTTAACTCCAAGACCTGGAAGTCACACAATAGAATTTTTTGAGATGTGTGCAAATCTAATTAAAATTCTTGCACAGTAAACCTAAAACTTTGCTTATTTCTTTGATAGCAATAAGCATGCATAATAAATCATAGCCAAATGCTTCCATTTATAATCAAGTTATACATAATTATAACTGAGGGTTGGCCTTTCGGAATGCAGTTTGCACAGGGACTGGAACATGATTAATAGTTAAAGGCATAATGTGCAGAAATGAATTAAGATAATTTTGTTCATTGTTCAGTAGGCATATAGAATAATATAATATACACAATGAATTATAGTTCTCTCAGGCTCACTTGATTTTTGGCTATTTTATATTTAGTGTATACAGGGCTTTGTCAAATATTAATTTACCATAAAGGCCTTCATATATTAATTACGTGTTGATGTGTTATATATTTGCTTCATAAATTTATTCAATAAATATTTGCCTAGAATCCCCAGAGAACTTTATAGGTGATTTTGTTTTCTGGGCTCCTTAAATAGCAAGTATCTTCAATAGTAGGGACAGCTTGGATGATTCTTCCATATCCCCTCCTTAATATTCTTATTATTCTGTAGTATATGGTAAGTCACCTTAAAGATATTGGACACATTTAAATTTTTTTCTTTCATTTGTTAAGTCCAAAAACACACAGAACATATATATTCAGATACTCTAGGCACTAAGTTTAATTTTACAATTTGTCCCACTATATTCTGTACATAAATTGCTCTTTTTGTCACAAGAGCTGTGTTGCATATACTGTAAGTAAATCATGCTGGTTTTGCCAATATCACAAAGTCCTCTGCTCATCATGTCAGTCACTATTAAATGTATGCAAAAATTTCTAGTCATTCAATCATGTATCTTTTAAATTGATTCAGTGCATAGAACATGTCTTACAAACTATTTAAATGCTCAGATATGACTTTTTTTCCTAGACTTCATTATGGACATTTTTTAAAAGAAAAGTTGAAAGGCTGTAAGGTGATCACATGTGTATCTACCACTTAGATTCAACATTTGTTAACATTTTGCCATATGTGCTTTATCTATTATATCTGTATATAGATACAGTTATATATATGTGTGTGTGTGTGTGTATATGCTTTTTTCCCCTGAACCATTTGGATTTTGCAGATATATTCATCACCCCTCAACACTTAAAGCATCTCCTAAAAAAATGATGACATTCTCCTAAAAAAACCCATAATACCATTAAAAATTAATAATTCTCTAATGCCATCTAATCATGCATATTTAGATTTCCCCTGTTGTACTACAAATTTATTTCAAACCAGGCTCCAATTAATGTTTATATATCACATTTGGTGTCTCCTTCATCAGCTATTACTTTATTATTGTTTTGATAAAATATGGAACAGATCAGTTACTTCTTCTAAATAGTAACATTTGCTTTGGATTTTAATTACTTTTTAAAAAGTAGCATTATGGAAACTGCCTAAAGTTGCTTAATCTTCCTAAGAACTCTGATTTATATTTTCTTTCTCTTGCTCTTAGTATAATGCATTACATAATAGGTGTAAGAAAAAAAATTTAGTCACCTCAGATAAAATTCGTATCATGTGTATGGTAATAAAAAATTACTGTGTCACCCATAATTGCCTTATACTATATTTTAACTTCAGGAAGAATTTTTTGGTATTAATTATTTTTCCATTGCAATGGAACTATCTTTTTTTCTCTTTTAAGACTCTTTGTATTGTATTATTGTTTTTGGCACCTCTGTAACCAGATGATAATGTACTCAAATGTCATGATAGCTTGCATAGTTACTGTAGTTGTAGATTTGGCTCCAGTACCCCTAGAAACATGCACTGAATTCAAAAGAAAAACCTTGCTTCCTTTTGTCCAGGGCTTATTCTATTCAACTTAGAATCTGAAAGCTGTATAAAATTATAGGAGTCCCATTTAAATGTAAGTTCACACTGTATTTATAACTTGTATGTGGCCCTCTGTTTTGAGGATATTGACTTCTTGTAGGCTCTAAATGCAGCATTATGTTCCTAATGTTAAGAACAGAAGACTGTATTTTTAAAGCTACAGATTTGTATATAGAACTAAGACATCGTTGTAATGTCTCTATAACCTGTTGTGGGGAGCAGGGAACAAAAGAGGAACCAATTAAATAGGACCTTCTAAAAATTGTTAATTTTGTAAACTGCTTCTTTTAAGTTATTGTGGTTCCTTTTAGTTACTGAGTTTTATTTTGAAGATATTTAAATATTGCACTTGTACAAATAGTATAATAAATGCACAGACTATTGCAGTAAATTCTTTTTTTAAGCTGGGATATTTGAAATGACAACTTTTGGTTGAGTATGTCAAGGTTGCATCAGAATTTTCAGAAATTTACTGTGGTTTGCAAATTCTTACTAATTGAAGATGTAAGGGAGTCAATGCAAATGATTTTTAATCTTTTTTTATTATCTTTTCAGCAGTTTATATTTTTTGTGATTTTATGCAACCATATTTTTACTTTGTCTTGACAACTGAAAGATGTATAAGGTTTTTGCCAGAAATGTACTGTATACATAGTTTTAAATATAACAGATTTTACTGATATGTAAAATTTTTGCCATTAAAATAAATGATTTCTCACTGAGAGGAACTTTTCTACCAGGTTGGGGGATATGGGAGCTTAATATGTCTAATTTAAAATAATGTCACTGAAATAAACTCCATTGCTTTTACTTTGATTATATTTTTTCTTTGGATGGTTCTGTAGTTTTTCAGAGTTTTAAATGATTTTGTACAAAAAGTCCTGCCCTCTCACCCTGCCCCCCGCTCTACTTTTTGACCTTGTAGTGATACCATCCACACTGAATTAATGACTGGTGGACTATGGGTGGATGTAGAACTCCACGAACCTTTGGAATGAAAGAAAAAAATGTATTTAAATCTTTTCCCCTTAACTCCTTCCATCTCCCCCATCCACAACAGAAATCATATTTTCATGAGTTCTTTTCACTAGATGAATGAAAGTCCACATAAAACATAACTATAAATTGGTAGTATGGTAGAAATCAATCTTTGTGGTACAATATTTCTGAGACTTATTCATGTATGTCTTGACCAGAGTATATTTAAGGATACAATTTTAAATACTTTGATTTGGAAAATGGATAATAAAGAAAAACATCATTTTTCATCGGCTTACAATGTGCTTAACTTTTTTAACTTCTGGGAAAACTACATGAAAAAAAAAAGGCACTTGTTATGGCTGACCATCTGTGCACTTTATTTATTTATTTATTTATTTATTTATTTATTTATGGCTGTGTTGGGTCTTCGTTTCTGTGCGAGGTCTTTCTCTAGTTGTGGCAAGTGGGGGTCACTCTTCATCGCGGTGCGCAGGCCTCTCACTATCGCGGCCTCTGTTGTTGCGGAGCACAGGCTCCAGACGCGCAGGCTCAGTAATTGTGGCTCACGGGCCCAGTTGCTCCATGGCATGTGGGATCTTCCCAGACCAGGGCTCGAACCTGTGTCCCCTGCATTGGCAGGCAGATTCTCAACCACTGCGCCACCAGGGAAGCCCCATCTGTGCACTTTTTAAACAATGTGCCTAAAGTATAGTGCTTGAACAAATTTTAGCACTTGAACGTGGTGATTTTTGTCTCATCTAAATTAGTGAGTTTTTGTTTCATCTAAAAATTAACCACCTGAACAAAATATTAAGTTATATACAATAAAAATCAGAGCAATTATCTTTGGCTGCTAACATTAGATTTGGTTAGAATTCCACTCCTGTTAGAATTCAATCAGTATGAAATCTTATACGGCATTGTTGTCAGGGCTTGTGTTAGATTGCTGACATTCTGAATCCTTAAAATAGCTTGATAATTTTAACAGAACACAGTACTAGACTGTTATGAACAGCACATAGATTGTTCTTTTAGGGAACTTAATTACTCTTAAGTAACCTGACTGAACAAAATTGTACAAGAAATTCTCTTGTCTGAAAAATAGTTATTGAACTGTTCTATTTATTGTAAACAAATAGGCTGTTCTATTTATTGTGGATGACAATAAACGTTAACTATGACAAATGTAGAGGATTTCTAGCAACTTGGAAGATGATCATGTTGTCTATACAGACAGCATGGGAAACTATTAAATATATAAATAGATGCATTATGATCATAGACCAAAGTAAGTAGGAAAGTGGTGGGTGAAGTGTGAAAACTTAGCGTTGGAGGTTGCCTTTACTAGGGTAGAGTGGGTCAAGATTAAGTTATTTGAGAGATTTAGGAAAGACGCCTTTTAGAAAGGGGTACAGCTTCGAGCACCATTTAATTATTTTACTCTGCAAACTATATCCCCTCATAAGGCAACTATGAACCAAGCACGACGAATGTGACCATAAGGCATAAATCCTGCTCTGAATGCCTTGTTAGGGAGATATATATATTTTAAAGAGTTTTATAGAGGTATAACATATACAGAAAAGTGCACAAATCATAAAATATTTGGCTTGATGTATTTTCAGTGTTTTAGGTTTGCAATGAACATGGCCATGTAAACCTCTAACCCAGATGAAGTAACATTGCCACCACCTTAGTAGTGTCTTTTTTATTAATATCAGAAGTGATATAACCTCAGAAGTGGTATACTATCACTTCTGCCCTATCCTACAGGCAACACAGAACAATCCTGGTATGATGTAGGAAGGAACTACACAAGAGTATGAATGCTAGGATTAGAGATCATAGGTGGCTATCTTGGAGGTTGGCTACCACAATTACGTATTGCTCATTTTGAAAAAACTGGTTCACTTCCACAGTTCTTACCAATGTTGAAACATTTAATGCAACAATATAAATAAAAATCGCATCTGATACCACCACTGATCTCATTGGAAAAATCTGAAAGTACTGGGAAGCTGGCAAGCTCACTGTGGCAAATACATGTTTTCCAGAATGATGATTTTTGCTTAAATTCTTGAATTTTATCATTGGTAACTGTCGATTGTTTTCCTTGATGTAACAGGCTCCCTTTGTTCATTTTCATGAAAAGGCCTGTCAGACCCAAGCCTGAAAACCAGCAGGGGTGTCAGCCCTTCTAAGTAAAAATTGTATTCCACAAAAAAAGCATCTACTTCAGTTTATAATGCAATTTCATGAGTGCTTTTATCTTGAGACATCATACTTCAATATACAGCAAAAGTACTTTGTACCTCCCATTATTGTCACACAATATTAAAAAATAATGTGTGTACTCAAGGGTCATTTTAATAAAGTAATTTTTACTGCTTCTTCAAGGACATTGAGGGACTGCATCTTCTTTTTCTTACAATGAGTGTGTACAGTGGTGAAGAATACAGTGACTACTAGTACAGCTTGGTAGCATTGCCCTGATTCGGGCTGAGGTGCCAGTGGTTTTAGCCACCATTACTTTTGCACTCTCAGCGCAAATGTCAACATTGTGAAAAAGGTAAATGATGTCTTCATGTTAGTATGAAAATAGGGATAGTTTTGGCTTTGAAAGGATCTTGACGACCTTCAGGGGGTCTGAGGATCACCTTTGGAGAATCCTTGCTCCCTATCAGTGGTTCTCAATGGGGTAGGGGTGGGGGGGGTCCATCTTTTTCCCAGGGACATTTTCTCATGTCTGGAGACATTTTTGCTTGTCACAGCTGGTGGGGTGGGAGTGGATGCTAATGGCATCCAGTGGGTAGAGCCCAGGGATGCCGCTAAACACCTTGCCCTGCACAGGAGAGGCCCCCTTCTCCCATCAAAGAATCATCCTTTTGGAAATGCTACAGCCTTGAGGTTGAGAAAAACTGGTCTACAAAAATGATCCACAGCGACATTGAGAAATCAAAATGATCTTAATTTTTCAATTTCCTAAACACTTCCCCGTATTACATGTCCCCACCTTTTATAACTTTCAAGACAGCTACTTTCGGGCCATAATTCTTTCTTGTTTAGAGAAAGTGAGTCCAGCTTTTTGCGTTTTATTTTCCCCAACGGTTGAGCCATGGCCGTACCCTTTTTCAGTCGGGTTTGCCTCTGTCTTCAGCGTCTGGACGACCTCATCAACTAGGTTGTAAACTCCTTTAGGGAGAGTCGTGAGTCAATGCTCTGGATTCCCCCCAAATCGTTTTCCCGGGCCTCTTCTGCTTTACCTGCTGACTGGATGGACCTCGTGGTACCGCCAGGGCTGTCCTCTCCGCGCGCACTCAGCCGGCGCAGCCGTAGATTCCCGCGCTTCCGAGTTGTGGGCGCCCACGCGCCGACGCTCTCATCTGCCGCTAGAGGGCGCTCACGGCCCGGGCGGCCCGGACTACCAGTCTCGGAGGGTAATAATGGGGTGGGGGCGGCCGCAGTGACTTCTGGGATTTGTGGTCCCAGGGAAAGGATTGCGGAAGAGAAAAGCGCTAAGAGTCGCCTCTTCCCTGGCAGCTTCTCTGGACTGTTCGCACGCCCCAGATCGGGCAACCCCCTACCTTGGGACACCCTGCACCTACGGCAAGCAGGTAGGAGGTCTGGCGCGGTAATTTCCGTTTCCGGTGGGCAAAGGGCAAGCGGAATGTAAACACGGGACCCGGGGAGTGGTCATCAGGTAACAGGGGTTACGGGTCTGTGGTGGAAGCGGGAGGAAGTTGAGGAAAGCGAGGCTGGTGGGTTTTGGGGTCACGGGAGAAAGGAGCCTCAGAAGTCGGAGTTGAGGCCCACCGCGGGTGTGGCAGAGCCGGGACGCTAAGGTTGGTCTCCAGGGACCAGCAAGTCTGGGGATCGGGCCCTCCCTGGCACCCGCGCCCGGGGCGGCTTCCGAGGCGGGCGGTGCGGTTTTGACCCGTCCTGAGCGGCGGGAGGAGCGGAAGCGAGTTGGCTTTGCCCCCAGCGTGGCAGGGGCCCGCGGCCGCGGGCGGGGCTGTGAACTCTCGGGTGACGTCCTGGGCAGCCTTTATGAACTTCGCTCTTCTTTACTGTTGTGCAAAATGAGGGGAAATCGCTAATGCTGGTTTCTCCTGTGCGGTAACATTTTCGGGTAAATCGGTTCTTGAATTCCTCACCTCCGACTACATCCCTATACCCGGAAGGATGCTGTTTTCATTACCTGTTTGTGTTCATCAGGTTTTTCGTCTTGGGTGCTGCTTTTTACGTCGCAGTGAAGAGAAGCATTCTCTAGCTTGTGACAGGGTATAATGTCTGTATTATTAGAGTTCCCACACTTCTTGGTCCCTCACATTGCCAACTTGGAAACTTGAAGCCAGAAAACTTAATCATCCTCATCCTTGTCACCTTTAGGGACAGTCATAAATACAAGTCTTCTTTTTTATCTTGACTTATTCTGTTATCTCGTGAGACCTTCCTAACGATTCATTCTCTCATGTTGTTCTCTTTCTGGGCCTCCGGACTTGTGTTCCTTAGTAACCACACTTACATTTTCAGCCATTTCTTTGTTCTTTCCCT